GACTTTTGCATTTTTTGGCTTAAAACACTCTACACAAGCGCAGGAAGCCCGCCTCACACTCCTGAATACTCAACACTTGGACTCGAGATTCTTAAGGACATCAGTCATTTCCAACTCCTTTCTACATGTGAAAGTCACGCCCACTAGAGTTACAGGTGACAGGATAAAGGATGACGTCATGCTAACTGAATGACAAGTAAGCAGCAAGATTTGCATCGATAGTGAATTCAGCTAATATTGACGCCTGATCAAAACAGCCAAAACCTAGGTCCATAGACATTTCTAATTTAAAGGCAGGTTTGAGCATCCTGTAAGCACCAAGGTACAAAGCATGCCTATGCCCTCTGTCTTTTACCCCAGAATTGATATGCAAGCGGAATATTATCCAGGCAGAGAATGTAAACAATAAAGGTGGCTGCCCTTTCCAAATCAGAGAGAGAACTGAGACAGAGCCTGCACAGGAATGGTTCACAAATGCCAAAATGTCAAGCACCAGACAGACACAGTCTTCACAGGACCCTCCCTTTTCCTGCTTCCGGGGGCTCCCCCACCACTCACTACAGGATAAAATGTAAACGCTTCGGTAGGTCAAAGCAAGGCTCTCCGTGAACCTGTCCCCTGCTTGCCTAGGTAACCTCATCTCATGACTTCTCATGTAGTTATGGCGGACATTGAGGAAGACACTCTGTATCAGCCTCCAGCTACACACACAGACACACACACATACACACACGAAACACAATTTCCAATTCTTCGATTTCCTCAGCATCTTCTTTTTCTGGATTCCGTGCCCCTCCCATCACCCATTTCTCAGTTGCCCAGCTTCCCACGCTTCTTCTCTGACCTCCAGAGGGCTGGTTTACCAGCCCCGCCCACCTGTGAATAACTACAGTTTACTGCCTCCGTCCCACTAACCTAGACAGCCCTGGACAACATCCGGCTGCTCTGCCGGACACGAAGCTGACAGTCAAATGTTTTCTCAGTCCACAACTTTTGAAACATGTTGGCTTTGTCCGGTTTTGGCACGGCGCCTTACACCCAAAGTAGAGATTCGGTGCATTGTTATTCATGATTACGTTTGCTATTGCTTTTCCAGACCGGTTTGTTGTTAACGTGGAAAACGTATGAGTTACATGGAAGTCTGTTTCTTTTCCTTTTAAACTACTATTTTTAGTTAATAAATGAGGACCAGGGAGACGCTAGGTGGGTGAAGCACTTCCTGCACAGGCGTAAGGACCTGAGTCTGAATTCCAGAGCCTGTGTAAAAGTCAAATGCATCCTTCACTCTTGCTGCTTCCCTCCTCCACCCCGCCCTTCTGCTTTCATGTCACATGGATGCCATTGCCCTCTCTTTCTGCCCTTTCTCCTTCCTCAGTTTCTTCTTTCCCTTGCTCTGGTGACAATAAACATGAATATATGTCAGTATATCTACGGATGCTGATTTGGAATCCTTCAGGTATATGCCCAGAGGGTGTCGCTGGGTCAGATTTTAAGGGGCTCCTACACTAACTTCCATAGTGTACCAGTTTTTACATTCCCCCAACCAGCGCACACAGGTTCCCTTTCCCTGCCTCCTTAACGGGCATTCGTTGTTCTTTGTGGAGACATTTCAGCTGAATAATACCTAAGAACAGCGTGTGATGGTCAGCCTGCTCCTATCATTTATACAAAGGGTACTTTCCTCAGTCGACTGCATTACTATGTGCTCTTAATCTGTCTACATCAGTCATGAAGAAGAGTTGGAAATTTCACTTTTTTAGGAGACCAGAAAGTTTTCTTGAAAAGGGTCTCAGGTAGCTCAGGCTCACTGTGTAGCTAAAGATCATCTTGAACTGCTGATGCACCTGCCTCCACCTCCCAAAATTTGGGGGTGCAGGTATGTGTCACCATAGCTGTCTTTAGCTGACCTATCTTTTCTCTGCCAAACCTAAGGAGGTCATCAACTTTTCCAAAAGTTCTGAGTGTTCAAAATGGAATGACTCATATAAGCACATGTAAGAAATCTTACACTCTAAAGAGCTGCTTATAGTACACCCCATAAGATATGATATGAATCATTAAATTTGAGATCGTTTCTCAATTTGATATGCTACCATATTTACAGTGGCTTTAAATAGCATCCTTCCCTACCTTAAAATCGATGTTTGTACAAGAGGTATATCACAGAGAATAAACAACTAAATGAGGAAAAATCCTAATTATTGAATCCCCCTCTTGTCTCCGGGGGACACCACTTTGGTAGTGTCTCTCTGTCTTTCCTCATCACCTCAAATCGTACCGTGTAGTTCTTTGTTGGCTTTGCCTCTCCAACTTAGTTCAGACCCACAGTTTTTGTGAAAGAAAAGAGAGAGAGAGAGATTCTTGATTGTCCTGACAGCAGCCCCCTCCAATATCATATGTTCTGGCAGAACAGGACATTCTACCTCTAAATAGAGTCTCTGCTCCACCTGCTCACTGATGGAGTCCGTGCTCTTATGTCTGTGGTGCGTTTCTAATTTAAAAGAAAGGTTATTTTGAGAAAACTTGCTGCAGTTGTTTCTGTTTCCTGTTTTGGTTTGAGACTCACATTTCCCATAAAATTGGCTCCTGCCTCACACCTGGCAGTGTAGTGATTAGTCAAGATGACTGGGAACCTCGGTGTGGCAATGCCCGCTGCAGATGGTTCTCTCTCCTCCGTCTACAGCGCCTGCCAGCTCCTCCACATCCGCCAACACAACCTCAGGAGCGCCCTGTAAAGCTGGCTTAATTTCGGCTACCATTAAGGCGACTGCTGCACCTGTGCTACCGTAGTTCATGTTGCAGTATATGCTACAAACATCTATTAAGCAACTACCCGATATAGGTCTGATAATGTAGTACCTTAAGTTGCTTATGATCCCCTGGCAGAAAGTAAACGCTTAGTAAAGAAGATAAGCAATAGTTGAAATGTGTATTCGCTGAGGGTGTGGCTCGGTTGGCAACCGTGTTTATCTAGTATGCAGAAAGCCTTGGGTTCCCTTCTTCCAGCACCGAATAATACATGCAGCGGTAGTGCATGCCTATATTCACAGCAATCCAGAGGGAGAGGCAGGAGGCTATCCTGCTACGTGGTGAGTTTGAAATCAGGCTGAAACACATGAGCCCTCGTTTCAAAATAAGTAATAGAGAAATAAATGTGTGTATGATAAGTGATAAACGTGCTTCAGAGCGGGGAAAGAGGGGGTCTGGCGAACAGCAGATGGGGTGGGGTGCAGGCTGAGGCTGGCGAAGGCAAGATGAGATCACAGGAAAATGGTTAAAGGCTTCCGTGATTTGGGATTAGTGGATGGTAACAGCACATGGGACCACAGAGTGTTGCACCTTGCTGGCTAGGTTAATGGCGACAGAAATCATCTTCTACAGGAGCTTCAGGAAGACACAGACCACATAAATAGAGTATCTATTATAATGTTTCCTCAAAGATATTAGACTAAAATGAAGACACAAGGCCACCGAACTTTGATCAAAGTTAAGTAGACTTGAAAAATGAAGTTGCATAAAAGCAATCTGTCAGTCTGTCTATCTAATGATCGATCGATCGATGGATCATCCATCTATCTTCTAAAGGGAAGGCCGGCCGGACACATTGCTGGGCCTAAACGTAAAAACTTAACATGTACAAGGCTTAACGTGGTTCGCACCCAGTAGCGGGGAGACAAGAAGAGGGATCAGGAGACTGTGACGCCAGCGTTAGCTATCACAAGGAGACAAACAGAAGAAGGGACCGAACAGAAGAAGGAATCGCTATTCAGAGTCTGGACCTTGATGCTTGAACCTGCACAGCGCTTCGTGACAGTGAGAACCAAGAAAAGAACTCCGGGTTCATCAGCCTAGCAGTGGCCAAAAGCTATTGGCTGGCTCGATGCCAACCCCCTCACTGAAAACAGTTTCTACTTTTAACAGGTCTCTAGAAGACTGACATAAGTACTCAGTGCCAGTCCACAAGCACAGGATAAGGCATCTGCTATGGGGTAGGTGGCAGGGATTTTTTTTTTTTTTTAAAGCTATTCCTCCAGGACCCTAGGGAGAACAATTTCTGACTGAGCGTAAAGCTACAAATTAGGGAAATAAGCACGCGCGGGGTAGTGCAAGGTGGCAGCGGCGGCACTCAGTAAGGACTTTTACACGAGAAACGCAAAACAAGAAGGACGTGCTAGAAAGGATAACCCGGGAGCTCAGGGTTGAGTGAAAACGGTTTCGAAAGAAAGGGGCTGTTCCAGGGACAGGAGGGGGCAATCACCAGCCGCAGAAAGTATTCCTTGGTGGGAGAGGGACTCATGTGCCCTTACCGCATCCGGGGCTGGGCGCGCAGCGAGCCGGAGCGCTCCCGCCCGGAGTTATCCCCAAAGGCGCTTGTCCGCATCCGGTTAAGTTTGAATCAGCGAGGGCTGATAAGAGGGAAAGGCCCTCTTCCCAGCGCACGGCACCCGGGCGGTGAATGACAGGCTTTGCCACTCCGTCTCCGGAGCGACCTGTTCCACCGCTGTGGACTCATCCTTCCTCCCTAGCCCGCAGCAGCCACCGGGGCGGGATGCTGTCCCCGGAGCCCAAGAGACAGCGCCCCGAATTCCCGCGGGCGGGACGCACACCCAGAAGCAGGAAGAAGGGCTCGCGCTGGTTTGGGGAGAGGCGGCTGGGAGGCCAGGTCCGGGAGCCGGGAAAGTGACTTCCGCGGTCCAAGGTCGAGCAGGACCTTCCCTCGCCCGGTCCCACCCGCAGCGCCTCTGCGCCCCGTGCGCCCTGGGGGCCGCGATCTTCTCCCGGGGGCGGCGGGGTTCCCCCGCAGCGCAGGTGAGCGCGGCGGGTGGGAGGCCCTGCCCGGTTCCACGCGGCCCCCAGCCCCACGGGGCTCCCCTCCCGCGGGAACCCCTCGGCTCGCGCGCCCTCCCCAAGCAGCCCTCCGCGTTCCCCTTCCCCCCCACGGAAGCGTCGCCCCGGCCTCCGGCCTCCGGGCACCCCGAGCCCCGCAGCCCCGCACTCACCGCTCCGGGGAACCCAGCGGCGCGCGCGGGAGCGGAGGGCGGCGGCGGCGGCGGACGCGGCGAGCGCGGCACTCACAGCGGCCCCTGCTGCCGGGGCTGCACTAGGCTGGAAGGGGCGGTGGCCGTGGGGTGGCACCTGCGGGCTCTCCCGGCCCCGCGCGTCACCCGGGACCGCCCCCGGCCCGCCTGCTTGCCGCCGCCAGGTGCCGCCGAGGGCTTGGGGGGGGAGGGCGGGGGGGGGGGGGCCCCCCGCGCCCCCCCCCGCGGCGCCCCCCGCCCCCGGCGGGGCCCCCCCCGGGCGGCCCCGGGGGGGGGGGGGGGGGGGGGGGGGGGGGGGGGGGCGCCAGCCGTTCCCGCCGCCGCTGCCCTCGCCGCCGGCCGAGCCTGGCCCAGACCGACCCCGGCCGCTATGGGGAGTCGGTTCCGGGCGCTGTACTGGTGCCCATTCTTTCTGAGCATGAATGCCATCCTCTGGGGTCGTCCCCACGCGTCACCAAAATACTGTGGAAATTGACGTCCTGCTTAACTCTGAGGAATTAGAGGACAATCTGCAATGAGAACGACACGGTGACCCCACGCTCGGTGGGGGGCACAGCTGGAGGGGAAGAGGAGGAAGGAGAAATTGGGAGCCCCCTCTAAAATGGAGACCACACCAACAAAGGGAGCAAGCCTGATCGGGGCCAGCCCAATCCCCTTCTTATTATTAAGAAATGAATTTTTGAAAAATTAGAGACTCGGGGTGGAAGGGGCTTTGGGGCCGATGAAGAACAGACTGTATGCAACTTTTTTTCGTGGTAACCACAACTGGTGGAAGGGACAGGGTCTAGAAAACTTCTGTCTACTTCAGGGAAGTGCTGAAGCCTGTGCTTGCACTGGGGGTTCACAGCATGGAATCCGGATAGGAAGGGATGGTAAGTAGAGAAAGCAAAAGCAATCAAGCAAGCCAGCCTTCCACAGCCCAGCTCTAGTATGCTGAGAATGAGGTTTCAGGGTTTGACATGAAGCTTTGGGCACACCCACCTGGTAGTCAATAAGAGGACAATCCCAAACCATAAAAGTTCAAATGTAAAGTTGGGAAGCTGAAGATTTCTCCTGCTGGAGATGTCTCAGTGGAAGGGTACTTGCCCAGTATGTGCAAGGCCCTGAGTTCATCAATAAACAAAGAAACAAATAAATCCTTGTTTAAGCTTTTCCTTTCATGTTACAAATAAGTTGCTTAGGAGATCTGGAAACTCCTTTGGAAATTAGAGACAATTTCCATATGTCTGTCACCGTTTTTATCTATACAAATTTTCAAATTTGCAAGAGCCTAATTAGATTCATTTAATTAGATTTAAGGCATATTTAATGCTGTTATTTTTTCTCCCCAGGATCTAAAGATTCAGCAGACAACAAAACAAACTAAGATTGTTCTCTGTTTTCAGGGCCCAAACATTCATTCTAGCCAGAGCTTACAATAAAGTTAATGCATAACCAGGAAAAAAAAAAAAAAAAATCTATGTTGTGTTCAGGTCATGACAAGTACCGTGAAGAAGGAAGAGTGCAGGAACTTTTGAGGTGAGGCATTGTTGAATTGTTGACGTGTTTAGGGAAGGCCTCAGTGAAAGGAGGCTTTGTGTTTTGTTGTGCTTTTGAAACTTACGCAGCAGAGGCTGCAAGTAGGACTTCTGATATAGTCCAAGCTATCCTCAAATGTCCATGTTTCATGCCTCCTGCTCCCCAGTGCTGGAAGGACAGACCAAAAGGAAGTCTTGAAACAAAATTTTAAAGTAGCAAAGCTGTCTGACTCTCTAAGTAACAGCATTCCAACCAATGGGAACAGCTGGGCTGAAGGAGTGGCCACAGCGGGGAGCCCACAGTGCCCAGAAGACCTAGGAGGTCCCAACAACTGAACTGGAACCCGGAGAGCAACAGCAAATGCAAGCCAAGTCTCAAGAAAGCAGTTTCTGAAAAGTGGCACCATCTGGCTGGCTTAGTTTTAAATTTATGATCTTTCTTTCTTTTCCTTTTTCTCCTTTCTTCTTTTTTGAGGCAAGGGTTAGCTACAAAACCCAGGCCGCTCTCAAATTTTCAGCCCTTCTGTCTCAGCCTACTAAGCACTGGGGTTATAGGCCTGTGCTCCTGCCTGGCATTTTAAAATAAGTTCTTGAGCATTTTTGAGAATAGAGTGTGGGATTGGGGAGGAAAGACAGAGCAAGGAAATAATTAAAAGGCACTTGCCCAACCCAGATAACAGAGAGAGAGAGAAAGATTGGTAGTAGTGGAAAGGTCAGATTCTGGCATTCAGAGGCAGAAGCCAGTGGATAACTATGACATCAAAGCCAGCCTGGCTTACATAGGGCCAGAGTCGGCTACATAGGAAAACCCTGTCTCCCCCTCCCCCACACACACACCCCTAATATATTGTGAAGACAGAGCCATTCAGATTTCCCAAAGATCTGGTGTGAGGAAAAGAGAGGCTTTGTCAAAAATGCCTCCAGAGCATTTTCTGTAAGCAACTGCATAGAACATGTGGCTTTTATAAAGAGGAAGACCGAGAGGGAGAAAAGTAGGGCAAAGGGCAAAACGTGTTCCAAGCTTGATTTAGATTGAGGAACACATTAGATTTCCAAGTGGGCTTCCCGGGCAGCAGTTGGTTATCTCAGTCTTCAGACGGAGAGAGAGGCTTGACAGGAACTCTAAAGTTAGGTCAGCCTTTTGATATTTTTTAAGATACAAGGATGGCTAAGAGCACCAAGAATAACAAGGACATCATCACTTGATGTTGACAAAGGCGGTTTTAGATAAATGGAAGGGGTGAAAGTAAACAGGAAGGGAGCAGTTGCTGGAGAGGTTTGGGCAGTTTGCTTTCCCTTGACTGGAGTCAGCAAGTGATCCAAGGTGATCAGGGTGAAGCACAAACAGTGTCAACTAGAAGGTGTCCAATCGAGGCTATTAAAAAAAAAAAAAAAAGGAAGGAAGGGAAGGAGGGAGAGAAGGAGGAAGTGAGGGAGAGAGAGAGAGAAATGCAACAGCTAAAGCTCTAGCCTACCTTGATTCCTTTTGTTCCAAAAAGGAATTCAGAAGCAACAATGGGCCATTCCCGTGTTTTAGTTACCTATATCTTTATATACTGTAATTTTTCACGTAAATGTAAAATAAATAACTACATTTTTTACATAACTAGTGCCAGACCACATACATTATCCCAAAACTTTATTCTTTATCAACTTTTTATTTTTATTTTTTTTAGGATTTAGTTTTAATGTAAGTGCGTGCACTATGCATACCATGACCCTAGTGTGGAGGTCAGAGGGCAACTTGCAGGAGTCAACTCTCTCCATCAGGCTTGACAGCAAGCACCTTTACAACTGAGCCATCTTACCAGTCTTAGTCACTCTTTGCCAATGACTTATTAATGTAGATATATGTAATTTTTAGTCATTTAATTACTACATAGTATCGAACAGCTAAGTATTTGTACGTTTGCCTCATAATGAAAAAAATTAAGTTATAACAAAATATCATAGGCTAGATAGATTAAACAACTGACATTTTATTACAGTCCTGGAGTCAAGTCCAAGGTCACATTCTGGTGAGGGCCTGTTCATGTTTTTTGGATAGCTGTTTTCTTGCTCTTGCTCATGGACTTTCTCCTCCTCCTGCTTTTTTCTTCTTCTTCTCTTCCTCCTCCTCCTTCTTTTTCTCTTTCTCCTTCTTCTTCAGAGCCTGTTTAGGGATAGGTGTGGTACATCCCTATTTTCATGCCTTTACCTAAGGTTATCATCTAAATCTAATCATTTTGGGCCAGTGATTCCCAAAAGTTTTCCTCTGAATGACACAGGAATGATATAACATACACACACACACACACACACACACACACACACACGCATGCACACACACACCACAAGCAAAATCATTTAAAAACTGAAACATGAAAGCTAATCATTTTGAAAGGCCCACCTCAAAATACTCAAAATATAAACTCAGGGAAGAAAGCAGCCTTTAAACCACAACACTTCCTGTTTTACTTTCCTAATTAGTGTCAAATTATACACTTATCACAGTATGTAGCAACTCAGTTTTCCCCGAGTCCTTGCCAACATGTGACATCCTTAGACCACATATATTATACGTCTGATCATAACAATACAACGTAGACATGGAACAAGTGCATTATTACACATAATCATTCTTTTGCATTCTTATTTCCAGTGTTGGGTATGTTGTACCAGAACTCTGTCCCTGAACTTTCTCATGATCTCAGACCTTACATTTTTACCAATCTGACAGGCGTGAGATGCTAACTGTGGCTTTAACGTGCATGATCAGTGATACTCATTTCACGAGGTCATATGCTCACTTTACTTTCTAAAATTTATATTTTTATTATTCAATTTAGATATTTGATGCCCTGGATCATTTAAAAATTATTCCTGTTTTTAAACAAAGTCATATCTATCTCATACAACAACAACAACAAAAGGTCTAGAGGGCTGGAGAGTGGGCTCAGCCAGTATAGGCATACACCACCACGTCTAATGACCTGCATTTGGTCCTTGGTATCGACAGAGTGAAGAAAGAAGCATTCTGGAAGGAGTCCCCTTATATTCACACTGGCATGCATACATGCAGGGAAAATGCCCACACACGTAGTAGTAAAAAATAATCTAATAGCCTACTGTCTTACACAAATATACACACACACTGCAACTTTGAAACTTCTTCATGTCCATAGCAAAAACCTCCCACCTGCCCTTTTCCACATCCAAGTCTTTCTAATATCCTTCCAGAGATATTTTGGTAACTCATATGAAAGACAACACAAGCATTTTTGGGGGAGTCTCTGTCTTTTTCTTAATACAAATACTGGAAAATGTCACATATTACTGTATTTCTCGTTTTTCCTTAATAAACAGTGTATCTTGAGATTCCTTCCATAAAAACTGTATTTATTTAACTTTTACATCTCCACTGTATAACTCAAGCATATTTTTTAAACCAGTTCCTTGAAAATCATTTAGGAATATCTTTTGATGTTAAAAAAAAAAAAAAAAAAACAACCAGCAAACACATAGACTAATGCATTGCATCTCCCCACCAACGCACAAAA